AATCGCTGTCAAGACTGAGCGTTTGTTGTGCCCAAATGCATTTGTTCATGATGATAAGATCCGTGTCCACATTCTCGATCGAAAAGGAATACTCGTTCGCGTACGACGAGGTTTCGTAGGACGTTGTCTCATATACAACGTCGCACGATGGTGTGTCGTCGTCATGCATCCTGCAGGACAAGAAACCGGAATTAGTTCGCAGTTCACGTCTCGTCATTATCTTAGCGGAGTTCGTAGCTACCAAATCTGAATCAGTTCGCATTTATCTAAAAGGGCACGTCGGACGGACTGGAAAGACAGTCGTCCCCCAAGGCCATAAGCACTTTCTCGCAAACGGATGTCGGTATTGCAAGGCCTGTCACGAATTTGCTCTCATGCGTCCCTTTGCGAAAATGTCTTCTCCAAGAAGAAGCCACCGTTTCGGCGCGTTGCCATTGTTCCTCGTCCGAAGTGGAAAGTTTCCACCTCTTCGTCCAAGTGCTGGAGTACCTTTCGCGAAGATCGGACGAGTGACTTGTAGGCACCCACCACTATATACGTAAACAACCAAAAATGCGGTGAGGAACGGTCGTCCACAACCTCGGACTGTGCTCTGCCAACCCAGAACGGGACACCTTGAGACAGTTCCTCATCAGGCGGCCTAACAATCAGAAAATCACCTTTGTTTATATGGCACCAAGGGTCGAAGTCCACTTTTGGACAACCCGCCCTCGGTCCTACATATATAAGCGAAGCATCTGGCGAAGGAGGATCGACTTCTTGAACTTCGTCCGCAGTTTCGACTGATTGTGGCCAGAAGGCGTGAGGGTAGATCTCCGGCTCGTGCGCCCCGAGGACATCCTTTTCCTCACCCTCTTCCGTCTCCTTCTTCTTTTGCTTTTGGATCATGTCGTCCGCCTCGACGAAGATGGCTTTCCAGTAAGACAAAGCATCCTCCCGCTTGTCGACCTCCTCCTTCCTATATGTTTGCCACATGTGTCTATGCTGTTTGAGGACGTCCACAAATTTTTGGACACTGTCACGAGCCATCCGAAAATCGTCTTTAGCGGCACGGGGAATAACACATGGTTGTGGAGGGGAGGAAGGGCCTGCATACTGGCCATCGACAACCGGAAACCAGTGAACTGGTCTGCCTTCCGGCGTCCATTCCGCATTGGTACAGTACTTCTTGTACACAATGACGGGACTGCCGTCACGCATGAAAAATTTGAAGAGGTGCGGTTTCGATACGCCGACGATGGTTCTATCGACGTATCGATCCACTACCCGGTGCCAATCGGCAATGTGATCGAGCTCAATGCACTTCGGCGGTATCTTGTGCGATGACTCGATAAGCGAGAACAACTGCTTCATGGTGTAAGCATCGTTGTCCTTCAGTTTTTTCGAGAAAACACTAAAAGTCGCGTCTATGTCGGTATGCGTATGGCCAACGAGCATGAACCCCACTTCGACATCTTCGAAAATCCTGAATTTCGCCAGAAGAGAGGCCAAACACATAAGGTATTGGTTTTTGTTTTCCCTCCAGCAATTGTCCACCTGGATGCGGAGGTGGCGTGGCCATTTCTGTCCCGACGCCTACAACTCACATAGAGTCCGCATAATGCACGTCATGGTGCCATCGGAACCGTGCGCATAGAAACGCAAATACGTGTACACATAAATGGACGGTTTCCTGCCATGAGCTACGACCGCGGTCAGGTTCGTTTTCATCATCATGTCATGTCGATGATCCTTGGAGTAATTATACATGCCGATGTGAGGAATGGTTGTCTTTTTCTGATCCATTCCATCCACTATAAGGCAGAGGTATTCTGCGCGGTTCAAAATGGAACGAAGTTTCCTGTCAGCGTAATCCGCACGGTGAGCGACCTGATCTAGTTGGTGTTTGCGGTGCTTTTCATCGAAATCCCTACGGTCACGAAGGAGGAAGGCGTTGTCTCTGGCCTATCTAAGGCGGACGCACTCGCCACACTTTGTGAACAAGTTGGACTTGGCAAGGTCGGCATGCCACAAGTACTTCCTCCATATGGAGTAGAAGACTTGCTCCAAAACGACGGTCTGACCCGCCGCTTCCAAGTCCGCCTTGATAGACTCGTATACAAGGAGCTTCGTGAAATAAGCAGGGAGCCTAACTTTGGGTCGTTGTGAGGTCCCCCTCACAACCATTTCGTTAGGCATAGCATCCCCATGTTCTTCCACGAACCTTGTCACACGAGCCAGCATGCTCACATACTCCGGTCTCGGGTTCAACAATCCCCATCGACCATGACGGCCACGGACGACCCCGTCCGACTTGCACTTGCTATAACGACGAAATGTGTTTCGACATATCCCTATTATTTTGCACCAACCGGCGATGCACACACGGCGTTTGCACTGCACTGGTTGGACTCTTTCCAGACCGCCGTCGAGGATAGTGAAATTGTCGAGGGTTTGCATCCACTGACGAGGACGCAGACGAGGATGTAGAAGATGGCGCAACAGAGTTTGTGCCGTTAGCCATTGCTACTACTCTGGTTGCGGCTGCCTGCTCTCTAGCTGCTGCGTTTGCTGCTGTTATCCCCCCTGGCCGCTGATAGCGCACGGGCTCTGCGTTCGGCACGAATCCGTCGTTCGTCTTCTGGTTGTAAGGCCTGGTACACGTGCGGGACCCTAAGTGCTCCTGAACGTGTAAGTCTCACATTGTCAACTCTACCCTCATCGGTGTCTGATCCACTCATCAGTTAGGCAGACAGTATCTGCACGACAACCCCCTATTGGAGTCCTACTGCAGCATGTGTCTGACCGACACCTAATTTTCTAAAAATAGTTGTGTCCGGCAGGTCCCTGACTTTACCGATCAAATGGCAGCCTACAACATTCACAACAGATTGTCAACATAGTCTAGGTGTACTTTGATTAGTTCACTTACAACAACATTTGATAGAACTGGCTATGGTAGTCTACAACAGTCCTACTCTAATCTGTCTGTGAGGTATTAGCAGTTGTCAACCAACTAATCAAAATAAACAAAGACCATGTTGCAGATGTATGATGAGTGGGTATGGTTGTGTATCTAGTTGAGCATCAATTAGAATCTACCCTTTCCCTTAATCCAACATACCGGTAAGCATCATTGAGCAGCGGTGTCTTTCGTGTGTTTGTCGGCCCACCCCTGTGCCCAAGTCATTGTCGAGCAAGCCAGTCAGTCCACTCTTATTTACCCTCGTACAAAATGAGCCTTACACCCGGTTGATCTGGCTGATCAGGAGGAATATTGAGAGCGCCCCCATCTCTTCAGGAATTATTTAACGTCGCAGTCAGGACGACGATCACAGCCAGAATCAACCAAGTCCCCAACCAGAAATGTTTATAGAAGGTCTGGTAAGCGTCTCATAAAAGGCTGGCACACTCGGCAGGACTTCTATTCAGCGCAACAAGTTCCAAAATGGACGGCGGCCATCGCATGCGTGACCTACTCCCATTGGGTTGGCATGGTGATCGTGACCCAGTGCTTCGACCAGGGCCCTTCAGAGGCACCGCCCTTTCTCCTTCCATATGCTTCCGGGAAGATTGTCGTCTCTCAAAGTAGCGAGCTCACGACACCTCACCAAAAGAGAGGACTCTCAAGTTGGACTCACTTCCTCACGGTAAGAAGAGATTGAGAGAGAAGATAAGGTAAGGGAACAATGTACCTGGAGATAGCTGTCCCCAACCACAAATTACTCACCAATTGAGTTGAGTGTGTATTTGATGACCGGTCTTGGCCTCGGTACCACCCACAACGCAATGGAGTGCCACCTCAGCCGAATGCCACATCAGCATGCTCTCATCACCAATCATACATTCCGCTTGTCACCACGGCATAATGTCGTCTTAGCCTTCCGGCACACACCTCTCTACCCAGGCTGTGCGCCTAATATGGCCTGACGTCACAAGAACCACCTGCGAAGAAGCATCGTCAACGCACCAAGTCTGTATAACGCCAGTGCACCAAGGTAAGTGGCGAATCAAACCAACTCCGATACCAAAATGCAAGGAACATGAATATGGACGAAGCACAGAAATCCAGATTGCAAAATCACACTGAAGTCCAAGTAGTCAAAGCAAGAGCAGATAGCACAATGGAACCGAGTAACCATCCATTTGAGAACTATACATAAGAATCGTGAGTCAATGACCAAGCCCAACAGGGCAACACCAACAACATAACCCAATGTAGCTCTCTCTCTTGAATGGCGCCAGGCGCCCTACCTACTCTACAGCCTATCACCACAACTACAGTATGAMAGCAACCAGACAACTTGACGACCAGCGAGTGATGATGTCAACACCAATGTCGACCTCCCACCTCCACCAGGTACGTCTCTCTCTTCACCCACGCTCTCCCTTGTTATCCCACACAACGCCCTTCACCTCCGAAGAACCACCTTCGCCCTCACCTCCCCTTCGCCCTCAGGCAGCCTGGCTATGGCCGCCAGCGCCCTGCGCACACAGGCAGCGCCCTACCGCTTTAGCGCTAGCCTGCTCCCTCAGCCTTAGTCCAACACAGCAGCTCGCGTTCGCGCAGCATGCCGACATTACCCGAAACGGCCAAGATCCCTGCCCACTCGCCCTGCTTGCCTATATGCCAGTGTTGCGTGTGGGCGGCCTCCCTTCAGCCTGCGTCTGGGCCCCAGCCGCTGAACCCAGGCCCGATGCAGTTGAGGCCAGGAGGATGCAGTTGCACCTCTTTCGTCAAGGCCTGCGCCAAGATTCAAATAGTGGGCCGATTTTCCCTTTGGCATTTACGGCCTCTATACCCAGCATGCATTGTCGGCCTCACGTTCAAGTGCCCAGGGCCTAACTAACTCAGAGGCCCTGGGTTTTCCCCATTTGCGGAGATCCGAGACTCGGTGCACTCCAACCAACTGGCGTGCTGCAACTGTATGGACCCCACTTCGTGAAAGGTTTGCACAGAGGGCTCTTGTTGATTTGCTGGCCCGCCTTCACTTAGGGCGGGCACGAGGCTTGCTGGGGCCTTAGCCCAGAACATGTACATCATGGCAAGGCCCCTTCACTTAGGGCGGGCACGAGGCTTGCTGGGGCCTTAGCCCAGAACATGTACATCATGGCAAGGCCCCTTCTTGAGGGCTCAATCCTCACAAAATTTTAATGAGTTATTGATTATGTAAACTACATATCTGTAAATTTTCAGGGCATTTTTCAATGCCAAAAAATAATTAAGACTCGGCAAAGATGGCGGTGTCGAAAAGGTGCTGGCACACTCACTCATTTTAATTCTCTTTTTATTTTTTCTTATTTTTATCACAGTTCTTATTTTCTGTACTTGATTTTTAATTCCAATTTGGTAAAGAATTTGGATGTAGTGCCCATGCAAATGTCGTTTAGTTTATTTTTCTCCATAACATATGTTTTTTTCGGAATTTTTTGAAAACGTTCTTTTTTTTTTCGGTCCGCGTTTGGCCCGAACGGCCGAACGCCTTCCGAAGGGGTCCCGTACGTTCGGGCGTTCGGGTTCGGGCGTTCGGCCCGTCCCGAACGCCGGAAACCCTGTATATATATATATATATATATATATTCATCTATCTATCTATCTATCTATCTATCTATCTATCTATCTATCTATTTACATTCTTTCTTTTCTGTGTGTCTCTCTCTCTCACTCCCTCCTTCCACCGGTTGCGGTGGGGAATAATGGATGACAAATATTTGTTAAGTATTGTAGTCCAGTGTTATATGGACTTCTACTAATAAATATGGATGTGCAAAAATATATAAGAATGCATGTTGCTACGTACATACAGCCAAACTTTGGTAGGCGCCTGCTGACAAAATCTATGGAAGTAGTGCGGCCGTGTCTCTGCCTCTCTGTCTCTCTCTCTCTCTCCCCCC